AAATGGTGGTGGTATTGTTGAGGTCCTCCTCTGGAGGACCTTTATGATCTTTTAAGGTCAAATCTGTTTTATTAGTTGATTTTTATTGAATGAAAATGAAAGAAGGATTAGACAATGTTGTTCAATTGAATTAATTTCCCTTTCAGTTATTCCGCCACTTTCAGGAAAAGTAGGGTTTTGATGTAGTACTGGGACAGGTCTGTAGCGTAGGGCGAGAACGCACTCATGCCCAGGTAGCCGGCACACACCTGTGGACCAATGCCGCCCTCCTGTTCAAATCTAGATCTTATGGCAGTAAATGTAATGGTTAACGGAGAAAAGAGGATAAATTGCTTACTTAAAATTGCTTAAATAATCAAAACTGTCATGCAAGCGATGAATACTGAACTCTTAAAGCAGTACTTTGCAAAAGGAGAAAAAGAGTTTGCAAGAATTGAGCTGATAGTTCTAATTATGTTCTTGCCCTCAAACCTACTAATTAGAATGGTCCTTCTCCAAAACACATTTCAGAAAATCAGAGTATGAAGCATGGTGTTATCTAGAATTGTCTCCAAATTATTTTGATTTTGCACTGCCATTAGTAAAAAATTTTAAAGCGCACCCCAATATAGTTATTTATAAATTATGTACATTGATAACCACTACATGCACTTTATTTTATTTTTGAGATGGAGTCTTTCTCTGTTGCCAAGGCTGGGGTGCAGTGGCATAATCCTGACTCATGGCAACCTCTGCCTCCAGGGTTCAAGTGATTCTCCTGCCTCAGCCTCCTGATAGCTGGGACTACAGGTGTGCACCACCAGGCCCAGCTAATTTTTGTGTTTTTGGTAGAGATGGGATTTCACTATGTTGGCCGGGCTGGTCTCGAACTCCTGACCTTGTGATCTGCCCACCTCGGCCTCCCAAAGTGTTGAGATTACAGGCATGAGCCACTGCGCCTGGCTGCACTTTTATTTTTATAAATAACATTTAACATGTCAGAGATACTTTTATATGTGTCCAATTGTATCAACATATTTTTAAAAACATATGTAAAATTAAAATGTTAAAAGAATGGTGTCTTAGCTTGGGCTGCTATAGCAAATTATTCTGGACTGGGTGGTTTAAACAACAAACATTTATTTCTCACAGTTCTGGGGGCTGAGAAGTCCCAAATCAGGCTGTTGGCAGATCCAGGGCCTGGCGAGGGCCTGTTACTAGTGTGTAGTGGCCTTCTCCTCATAAAGAGTGAGCAAACTTTCATGCTGGTTCTTATAAGGGCACTAATCCCATTCATGAGGACTCTCCAATCATGACCTAGTCGCTTCAGAAGGCCCTACCTTTTAATAGCATCACCATGAGGGTTAGGATTTTAATATATGAATTTGTGTGTGTATATTGGGCGGGGGATACATTCAATCCATAAGAAATGGAATAAATTGAAATGAGTTCTAGCATGTCCTTGATACCCTCCAAAGGACTACTATGGACACTCCCTGGGTACGTATGCCCCACTTACGAGACCAGTCTAGGAAGCCAGACAGAGTGGAGAGAGATGAGCTGTGTTTTGAATACTTGGGCAACTGGACTACATAGGCTTTCTTCCCTGCGTCATTCTACATCCGGATAAATTATTATAAAAGGAATTGGTAAATAGTTCCAAAGGAATCCATATGCAAATACAGAAATTTTTTAAGTGAATTTGCATGAAAGAGGTCCTTAGGTTCATCCCAGCCATCGATGTGAATTCAGCAGAGGAACATAGTCACTGACATGGTTTTCATCCCATTAACTGGGGATGGTCAGGATTGGGTCAGAAACTTCATGCTTAAGAGCACTGGTCCTGTGCTGTTTAATTGGTAGAAGGCATACTTCATTTTTGTACAACAAATAAGATGTATCTACACACTTGAACTTTCTATTTTAGCAGCTTCTAGGCATAACTTAGAAATACAAAGTAAAAACGTTTCATATTTTTGGTTGCCGTCCTGGAAAGAAAAGGAGAAATACAGCTTCCGTCCTGGAAAGAACAGGAGAAATACAACTTCTGTTTGTTGGAAACTCTTCAGTTCAAAGTTCCTCTAGATGTCAGTATTACATAGGGAAATGAAAACATAACAGCCTTTGGCAGTGAATAAAAGCCTTCTTACATTATTTAAATAGAAAAACATATGTGATATATAATTACTAAACAAAAAAGCAGCCTCACTTGGAAGCTGGCTTCTTATATTCCTCAATACTGACAGCTTCTCCTGTTGGTCAAGTCCGACTCCGAACTCAAAGAATATTGGCCCAGCATGTGGACTTTTCCACCTGATACTCAGGTGGCTTCAGAGGCAAATGTGGATCTATCAGTGCTCCACGGAGTCTTACAGCCAGCTGCTCAATTTTATGTACTTTGATGGGCTGAAATTGACTGATACATACCAGTTTTCATTATTAAATCCACGTATGCTTATATCATTGCGTTCATGCCACACAGAATAAACCCAGAAGCACAATGTCTATTGATACACCAGAGTTTTCATTTCAAAAGGGAAGAATAAAGGGACAGTTATAAAACATCTTAAACACAATTGGTTAAACTGTCTTATTCAACTAATTTGGATATATACTTTCAAAATTGGACTTAAATTCTCTGTCTTCTTTTCTTTTTTTGCTTCTCTTCCATGTTAATTGTAATCTTTTGACAAATATTTATCTCTTCACTCTGCTAATTTGTTTTTGATTTATGACCTTCTCTCTTAATCATTTTTCTTTTCTCCTGTGGTGCCAACTATGTAGTAGATCTCAATAAATATGAATCATGTAACTTGGCTGTAGTCTTTCTATATTTTATACTGTCTTTCTATCTACCCAGAAAGACAGTATAGTGTGGCAGTTAGGTGCACAGGCTGAAGTAGACAGCTGGGTTAGAATCCTAGCTCTACCATTTCTAAACTTTATAACCTTTGGAAATTACCTAACTTCATTTATACAATGGGGCTAATAGTATCTATCTTAAAGGGCTGTTAGGAGCAGTAACCAGGTAAACAAAGTGCTTAAAAGAGTGACTGGTACATAGTGTGTGTGCACAATACATGGTAGCCATCACCACTACCACCATCATTACCATGATCACCACCATCACCACTACAACCACTATCACCACTACAGTCACCACCATCACCACTACCACTACCACCATTGCCACCACCACCACCAGCACTACCACTACCACCACCATCATGGCCACCACCATCATTACCACTACCACCATGACTACCACCACAACCACCACTACTACCACCACCACCACTACCACCATCACCACCACCACCACTACCACCATAATGATCACCACCATCATGACCACTACCATCATCATCATCATCACCATCATCACTACATACTGGTCTCTGAAGTAATCGCCAGGAAGTCAAAGATGAACCAGGCTTTGCCCACTAGAAGTCCACAATCTCATGGGAAATTGACCGGAAAAAAGGCTTAAAAGTGTTATAAGGAATACCAGGGTTAGGGCTATGTGCTGAGTTTTGTGCAAGCACAGAGGAGGGAGCAGTCGGCTTTGCTTGAAGCAGCAGCAGCCCATTTTCCCTGCAGAGGGAAAAGTAGGCAAGTGCCATCTCTGGACTTTCACTTACAGAGAAACTTTAAGAGAAAGAGAAACTCTGAAGCTCTCACTTCCAGCCTTGGCTTTCCATAGGTTTACTAAACATGCCTTCATGTTGTAAGTTCACCATCTGAAGAACGGAAATACTCTGAATCCATGGAGCTGCCCCCTGAATTGTTTAAAAGCACATTTGTGGCCGGATGTGGTGGCTCACACCTGTAATCCCAGCACTTTGGGAGGCCGAGGCAGGAGGATCACCTGAGGTCAGGAGTTCAAGACCAGCCTGGCAAATGTGGCAAAACCCCGTCTCTACTGAAAATACAAAAAATTAGCCAGGCATGGTGGTGCATGCCTGTAGTCCCAGCTACTCAGGAGGCTGAGGCAGGAGAATCGCCTGAACCTGGGAGGTGGAGGTTGCAGTGAGCCAAGATCGCGCCACTGCACTCCAGCCTGGGCGACAAGAGCGAAATTCCATCTAAAAAAAAAAAAAAGAAAGAAAGAAAGAAAGAAAGAAAGCACATTTGCAGTTTGTCTTGATATCTGTGCTCTGAACTTCCATGGTGTTTCATGCTTGCAAATCAGCCGAAGGCAAATTATGTTGTGTTTCAAAGGGGAAATAAATACTGTTTTTGGACATCTACACAATGTCATTAATTTATAATGCATAACTTTAGGAGTTGTGATAATTTGGGTGGATTGGGTTAATGTTTCCCTTTTATATGGGGTACATTAGCTAACAGTTTGCTCAACTAATTCAGAGACTCTAGGACTGTGAGAAGAATGTTTACCCTCTTAGGAAAAAGGCCATCTGTTCTAAGCACTGTAAAGGTTCCATTTATAAAGCTGACTTTCATCTCCTACTCTCTGGTTTACAGAGCCCATTCACATGTATCCTCTCATTTCTATTTGATTTATATGTAAACCATATCAAGACAATTTAAACAGAAGTCAAGGGTGATGTACACATTATTATATCCTTTCATCTATTCATGAAGATGGGCTTTTTCCCATAATGACAGTTTTACAGAATTTCTTTGAAAATAGTGAGTTCATTTCAGATACTGTAGTCTATATGGCTTTCATTAATTCAGACAGCTCTGCCCTCTACCATTACTATTAATTTTACTGTTTTTTTTTCTATGTTTGAATCGTATAATATAGTAGTTTTCACTCTGGGGTAATGGGTGATTTTGCTCCCCATTTATGGATCTCTGGAGACGTTTTTGGTCATCACAACTGGGAGGGAGGGTGCTACTGGCATCTGGTGGATAGAGGCCAGTGATGCTGCTATTCTGTAATGCTCATGACATTCCCCACCACACAGAATTATCCCCCGCAAGTGTCAGGAGTGCTGAGGTTGAAAAGCCCAGATGTGATATGTAACTTCAGTTACTCAATTGTGCCTCCACAGGCGAAGGAGGTGTGGTCAAACGCCGACCTGACGGAAAGGATGCCTGTCAAAAGCAAAAGGACATCAGCCCTTGCAGGTAACATCTTTAGAAAACTAGATAGTTATGAATAAAGAAAGTCCTGTTATAAAAGTCCTGTTGTTATTCAGAGGAAGTTGCACATTCATAAAGCCCTGTGTAGGAAGAAGTGATGTTTGTATTTAAAAAAAAATACCCCCTACCCCCACTTTTTTTTTTTTTTTGCTTGTCTTTGGGTCTTACTACTTACAAACAAGAAAATCTTTTGGAACCCAATTGGTCATATTTCCTTCCACTTTGCTTTTAAAAGCTTATATCTGCTGATAAAAAGAAACCTGGATAAAGATGCCAGTATAGAAAGCCAAAATTATACTGATCACCTACATTCTCCATTAAAATATTTTGTGTCCTATGGTGGCTTCTAGAGAGATCTACCCAGAAGAATCAGCTCTCCTCTGAGAAAGAAAAGGTTAATAAACTCAACAAGAAAAATGCTGAGAAGACCAATGCCTCTCTAGTTCATAGAAGTTTTGCCATATTTCATACAAAAAGACAAGACAAAGTAGATTTTGCTCCAAGAAATTCTATAGATCCAAGAGAATATAGATGGAACAGACATTTCAAGCACAGAGAGCCTGAATAGACAGGAAAGTGATAGTGCTGTGAATGAAAAACAAGCCACTGTGGATAAAAACGGACACCCAGTGTTCGAAGAAGAGAAAACGGGTTTAATTATAAGGAAGATGCTAGTGGAAGAGAAGCTGAGAAGAAAAGAGAACTGGCAACTGTACATGAGACAGTGCTGGACCAATGTCCACATAAAAATCAATACATGTATCAGACTAATGGTGACCAATTTCCTGAAAGGTAGGGTTACAGCATTGCATATCCACAGCAATGCTTTCTGTAGATCTATGTGCCGTTGCAGTTTAAGGCCTTATTAAAAGGATAAATGAAGAGAGTTTTGAAGCTATGATTTAGAATTCAGTTTTCCAGCTTACATGAATTTTTCAGGGCCACATTTTCTTGCCATTATTTTTTCTTCTTGCCTGTAATATTTTCAGGCATTTTATTATTTTCTATGTTTTCTACCAACTGGTAGATGATGATTAATAGTGCCCACAGGAATCAGTATTTTTTAAAGATCAAGTAAAACATTTTTATTTTTAGCAATACAGAACATATCCTTCCTAAGGACAAGAATTAAATAATGATTAGATTTATCTGTAATTTAAAAACCTAAATCTGAGAAAGCTTACCTACTCCATTATAAATAATAATTTTCCCAAATATAGTGAGGATGAAATATAGTGAGGATGAAGTAAGATGTAGATTATTGAATGACTTTCTTTCTCAACTACACAGTTTCACATGTAGATTAAGGTAATATTGTAGCCAATTAAAATGAACTAAAAGTTATGAGTAATCACATATCACAGTATCTATTTGGAACCAAAAGTATCAAAACACTTGTGTGGTCTTTTTTAGGGATTTAAAACATAATTCTCACTTCATTTTTTAATAATGTATCTGAAACCTCATCTTGGAGAAATTTAATTTTCCAAGAATTAGGCATAAATACTAATGATTGCTAAGAAAGAAACTTCATCACTGCCAGATGCGTTCAGTAAGTTCGAGAGCTGCTGAGAAATGGAAATTAGGTCAATTCTTCCACTGATAATCGTTGAGTCTTACTGCCCTTAAGATTCAGAGAGATTGGCCGGGCGCGGTGGCTCACGCCTGTAATCCCAGCACTTTGGGAGGCCGAGACGGGTGAATCACGAGGTCAGGAGATCGAGACCATCCTGGCGAACACGGTGAAACCCCGTCTCTACTAAAAATACAAAAAACTAGCCGGGCGCGGTGGCGGCGCCTGTAGTCCCAGCTGCTCGGGAGGCTGAGGCAGGAGAATGGCGGGAACCCGGGAGGCGGAGCTTGCAGTGAGCTGAGATCCGGCCACAGCACTCCAGCCTGGGCGACAGAGCGAGACTCCGTCTCAAAAAAAAAAAAAAAAAAAAAAAAATTCAGACAGATTATTGCTTCTTTTATCATGCTATAATTTAATAATTTCTCTCTTCTCTAAGGAAAGGAAGTGAAAAAATGAAGATCAGATTAGTTAGGTATTCACAGAATGACGGCTTTTGTTAAGGTTTGGCCAGTGGAGACATTCCCTGGGACCCTGGTTATCTCACCCGTAGCCTCGATGGGGGGCATGCTGCTCCATTTCCTCTCCAAGCACCGAAATGGTCCCCTCTGTCACGGAGCTCACGTCCTCCTCACCAAAACACTGTTTTTTGTGTTTTTTTTAAGACGGAGTCTCGCTCTGTGGCCCAAGCTGGAGTGCGGTGGCGCCATCTTGGCTCACTGCAAGCTCCGCCTCCCGGGTTCCCGCCCTTCTCCTGCCTCGGCCTCCCGAGTAGCTGGGACTACAGGCGGCGCCGCCACGCCCGGCTAGTTTTTTGTATTTTTAGTAGAGACGGGGTTTCACCGTGTTAGCCAGGATGGTCTCGATCTCCTGACCTCGTGATCCACCCGCCTCGGCCTCCCAAAGTGCTGGGATTACAGGCGGGAGCCACCGCGCCCGGCACCAAAACACTGTTTTAAGAAAAGTCTTCAGTCTAAGAATTTTCACCCTCTGACTATGTTCTTCTTGGAACTTTGAGAGCTGCAACTGGACTTGACTTTCCGGGAGTGTCAGCAGCAGAGGGGCCATTTCTAGCCCCACGAATCCCGGGAGGTTCCGCAGCAGGATCCGTGTTCTGGAATGCCGACCGGAGTGCCCGGGCAGCAGTCAGCGTAGAGTGGCAGAGGGCGCCTGGCCAACCAGGGCAGCGAAAGCGCAGGGTAGACGTAGTGGGCACGGGGGAGAACCCACGTGTCAGAAGACACAGGCAAGCGGAGGCGCTCCCGGGGCCGCCTCGGGAGCCCGCGGGGATGAAGACCTGTGGGCAAGATGCCGCCACCTGTTTGGGTAGGAAGTGGCTTTTGTACGGGCCTTTTAAGGCTCTTTAACCTTTTCCGGCAAGCACTGCAGACTAAATTTCATTTAGTCTAACAGCCCGCAGGAGATAGAACGCCATTTCAATGCCGCTTGTGTATTTAACTCCCTCTTTTATTAATCTGAAACAGTGAATGTTACCAAGACACTTCTCGCGTGACTTCAGTTTTCAGCATTTTTACGCGGTGAGAGGTGATGTCCATATCAAATCAGATTCCCAGAGATTTATATTCTGAATTTTAAAAAATATTAACACTTGGCAGAGTGTCAAATGCTCAAGAAACATTTGTTAAATAAATGTAGATTTTTTTTGGAAAGCAAAGCTGTTATTTACTTACCTCTCTTTGTATTCTCATTGTATGCATGCAGTAGCTGCTTAATAAATGAATTAGCAGAGAATGAGCAGGTTCACGGCAAGCCAATTTTAACAGCAGTAGTCATGGAAAGGTAAAAGAATACTGGGAGGAATATCCCTGAGCAATTCTGTATGTTAGAGCTGTTGCTGATGTGGACGAGCGTTTAAACACTTAAGGTGGAAGGGGAGAAAGTGGGAGAAATTTGATCACTGTTGAATACACACTTACCTGGTTTTATTGGGTGTTTTATTTCCAGCCAGCCAGGAAAAATTCATCTTTGTGCCTTAAATGTGTCTTAAATAAAGTCCAAGACATTTTGGAAAGTAATATATAATATCAAGCATTTCAATAACATGAAGAAATGTTTCATTTTTCTTTTTTCTCTCTGCTTTAATTAAAATAATGGATTATATCAGTAATGCATTTAAAAAATGGATCAAACAATTTCTCACGTTTGAATTTGAATGGTCTCAGGCTTGGAAGTATTACCTGTTTGGACTGTGTTGGGTTGGAAATTTTCAACTATTTTAACATTTCCAAAAGTGATCTTGAAGATGGTATGGACAACCATTGAGCCGCCCTGACACTGCTTCCCAGAGGTGTCAGGATCACCTTTATGAGTCACAGCTCATAATCTCAAGTGGAAATTTATATCCCTGGATCATTAGGAATCAAACAGATGGCTTCTTGTATTTTATTATTAAATGAGCACATTTTTACTATGAGGCCCAGGCTTGCTGCCTTAACGAGGTCAGCCTGCTTGACAGATGGCCCTTCTGTTTCTCTCACCTTCTAGTTGACATCCCGGCTCCTCCTGCCCCATTTGATCATCGTATTGTGACAGCCAAGCAAGGAGCGGTCAACAGCTTCTATACTGTGAGCAAGACGGAAATCCTAGGAGGGTGAGTCATGCTGAATATTATTAGCGTTCTCTCAACAAAAGAGGAGAGTGTGCAAAGACACGGAGCCAGATGACTTCGTAAATGTCTGCCTGTCTTGACCTGAGAACTAGAAACGTTAGAAACAAACATTTTAAGAAACCGTATCCATTTCTGAAAATTGTCACTGATGCCAGAAAGGTTAATGTGGTGACTAAACTCCACGTTTATTATCTGCTTTACTTCCCATGTTGTAATGTCTAAAAGAAAGAAAAACCCATTGTGAGTCACCAGAAGGTTGACCAGCTGTCCAAAGCCATAGTGCAGCCTCCAGGAGACAGAATATAGAAATGAGTCAACAGCGTGTAGTTCTGGTGGCCTGTATTAGGTCTTTCTGTTATTGCTGCTGGTTTTTCATTTATGTTGTTACTGTATTAATTATTATTATCCATTTCAATTGATTACTTTGCTCAGCAAATAACTTATTTTAGGGACATTTAAATGCACACTCTCCCTAAAGAAGGAAGATTAAAGGCCGGTCATGGTGACTCACGCCTGTAATCCTAGCATTTTGGGAAACCGAGGCGGGCAGATCACTTGAGGTCAGGAGTTCGAGACCATCCTAGTCAACATGGTGGAACTCCGTCTCTATTAAAAATACAAAAATTAGCTGAGTGTGGTGGCACATGCCTGTAACCCCAGCTACTCAGGAGGCTGAGGCAGGAAAATCGCTTGAACCAGGGAGTCGGAGGTTGCAGTGAGCTGAGATCAGGCCCCTGCACTCCAGCCTGGTGACGGAGTGAGACTCTGTCTCAAAAAAAAAAATAGAAAGAAAAAAGGAAAGAAAAAAAGCCAGAAAGAAAATTAAAGTCCATCAGGGCCCAGCTTCATGCTGGGGGTGGGGAGAGGTGTTCTTTCTTCTACTTCTTTCACAACCCCCCTATGATATCTTGTAACTCAAAGTCTAAATTACAACGTTTGCTGCCATCAGCATGTCTGTGTAAAATAGGAAGAGGAAGGCAGAACATCTGCACATATGCATACAGAATGTACTCACCAACACAAAGAAAGCATGCATTGCTACTGCAGCTCAGGCTTCTGCAAGTGGTCTGCAGGGAGTCATTGATATTCGTGAAGTCCCTTCTTCCTCTTCCCACTCTGTATTTCTTTGCCCTCCGCCGAATGGAACCACCTGGACTTTGCTTTCCTCATCTGGCTGAGCTCAGAATGCCCCATGAGACTGCGGGGAAGGCTGAGGGAGAGACAGGAATTCCACAGCATGAACTGGTGCCATGGAAGCCTGAGGTATTTGGGTCTTCAGGGACATCAGTGGCAAGCCAGCAAGTATTTCTCTAACCGAGAATAGTTATTTGCAGAAGAAGCTTTGAAAGAATTCCCAGGATTTGTGCTGTTTTTCTGGTCAAGGTTTGTCAATTGCTCCCTCGAAACTTCCTTTCTGTCTGTTTGGGCACCATGGGATCTTCTCTTTGGTACTGCAGTCTAGACCAGCTGCCCGTCAGCGCTTGTTATGGGCTTCACCAAAATTGGCAGCCATAATTCACTCAGCAAATAAGTTAGAGGAGCATGATCAAATGTGCGTGGATGCCTTCAAAATGCAGACATCACCAAGTGCTGCACCTCCTTTTTAGTGGTAGGAGGTTCAAGATGCAGCAACTTATCTTTTACTTTTGGCAGAAATATTGCAACATGCCAAGGATCACTGGATCCCAAAACACCTGCCCACAGGGGCAGGCCCCTGAATTTTCCTGGGGGTTCATCTCCTGCCCTGTGACCTCAAGGGTATCTATCATCCCTGCTTGGCATGTTCAGTGAGCATAAGGTTATCACTGTGTTGAACCAGCATGAATCCTGGGAGTTGGCCTCAACCTTCAGGGCCCTTGCAGAATAAATCAGGGGAAAGAGTCAGAGGGTTGAAGGAGCCGGGAAGTCAGACAGTGATGGGCACCACTGCTGGCTCAGGAGGTTCTGGGGCCATTGCTAGTGAAGGGAAAAACAAAACAAAACATTTTCATAACAGCCGCTTAAGAGGTGGCTGGGCCTGTGTCCATGTATTCCCATAGAGACTCCATCTGGAACAGAGGTTGGAATTGAAGTCACCCCGTGGCTATGTTTATGGTAATCCTGTGTCATTCTCCAAGATCCATCTGCCTCTGTGCTGGGTGTGGAGCCCCAGGATGGGATGTGGCGGCCGTCAGTGCTCCTGCATCTGTCCAGCGTTGCCATGACTTTCATCGTTGAGGTCCTCTGCCTTGTCATAGGGCTTGCCTCGGGTTCACTGTGTTGCTAGGGAAGCTGTTCCTCACTCCCGACTGTGACATCCACCATTGCAGAGCAGGGACACGTGTTCTAGCTTATTTTACTAAATAAGAAATCAAAGTAAGCAAATTAGATTTAAAACTGCTCTCAACTGTGCACATCTGTATGTGATTATGGAGGTAAGAAGCTGTCTTACGATTATATTCGAGCTCATAGGTGACTGGGCAATACGCAGTCTTGACTATATGGATATATATGCAGTACTGTTACATATGCAGTTTTCAAAAATAATTTTATATATCTGAAGGTGGGCTCTCTTGTTCATATGCTGACAAAGCCCAGCTTATAACATTCATATGTATTTAGAAAGGTTCTGCATTGTCTGTAAAAGTGGTTCTCAAATGTTAGGGTGTATATGAATCACCCAAGAAATGTGCTGAAATGTAGTCTCTGGGGCCTACCCCTGGATTCCTGCCTCAGGAGGTCTGGGGTAGGGCTCAGAATCCTGGATTCTTTTTTTTTTTTTTTTTTTTTTTTGAGATGGAGTCTTGCACTGTCACCTGGGCTGGAGTGCAATGGCGCTATCTCCGCTCACTGCAACCTCCGCCTTCTGGGTTCACGTAATTCTCCTGCCTCAACCTCCCAAGTAGCTGGGATTATAGGCGCGTGCCACCACATCTGGCTAATTTTTTGTATTTTTAGTAGAGACGGGGTTTCATTATGTTGACCAGGCTGGTCTCGAACTCCTAACCGTGTGATCCTCCCGCCTCCGCCTCCCAAAGTGCTGGGATTACAGGCGTGAGCCACCACACCCGGCTGAAACCTGCTTTCTTAACAGCTCCCAGGTGATTCTGATGCAAGTGACTCAGACCACACCTTGACAAATACTGTTCTAGAAGCTTATGGAAAGAACTCCTCATAGGGCTGCTCATCCAGACTTAGCAGGAGAAATACTGGGGCCACTGTGTGCTGTCTACGTGGCAGCTGACCACAGGGCCTCATGCTACGCCGCTTCCTCTTTTTTGGCAGAGGGCGTTTCGGCCAAGTTCACAAGTGTGAGGAGACGGCCACAGGTCTGAAGCTGGCAGCCAAAATCATCAAGACCAGAGGCATGAAGGACAAGGTACAGCCTGTGGGAGGTGGTCCCCTCTCTCCCTGCCCTGTCTTGGCCACACTAATGCACTGTTTCCTGCTTCTCAGGAGGAGGTGAAGAACGAGATCAGCGTCATGAACCAGCTGGACCACGCGAACCTCATCCAGCTGTACGATGCCTTTGAGTCTAAGGACGACATTGTCCTGGTCATGGAGTAGTGCGTATCCCCTCTGCCCCTCCCTGACCCACTCATGACCATGACTGTGCGTCAGTAGCTCTGTCCTGCTGCAGCGGGGCCAGAACCAAGCTTGTCCCAGCAGACTCTGATTCGCGTGGATCACACAATGTCATCAGTTCTCGAAGGGAAATGACTTGGGATTATGCATCTCCATACGGGATTTTATTGATAAGAAGTAGCGGGACCAAGTAGATCTAGCTTTGTATCTAAGCTGTTTGTCAAAAATCAAGCTTAAATACTAGCCAGGGCAATCTGGAGGAAAGTGGTTTTAGAGCTATATCTTACTTTCACCGTATTCACATGTCAAAAACGGTTGATGATTCGGGCTAAGAAGCTTCCATTTAAACTCACCTTTATAAAAACATAAGGACTGGTTAGTTAGAAACCGAGTACAGTCATTACTTGGAATCTGAGAGGGTCCCAGGATCCCCGCAAATACCAAAACCAGAGGACACTCAAGTTCCTGATATAAAATGGTGTAGTCTTTTGCATATAACCTATGCCCATCCCCCCGAGTGCTTTAAATAATCTCTAGACTACTTATAATACTTGATAAACTGTAAATACCACGTATACAGTTGTTATACTGTATTTTAAAAAAATTTGTATTATTTTTGTTGTTGTATTGTCAATGTTTATTGTTTTTTGGTCAAACATTTTTATCTGTGTTTGTTTGAACATGTGGAAACAGAATCCATGAATAGGGAGGGCGGACTGCAATTCCAACACTGAATCGATATTGTGATTCCGTTTTGTTTTTCATTCTGCAATCAGGCATTTTGAATAAAAAGTATAGGTTCGTGGTCCTCTCTTATCCATACTTTCACTTTCTATGGTCTCAGTTACCCTAGGCCCCAAAATATTAAGTGGAAAATTCCAGAAGTAAACAATCAACAGGTTTTAAATTGCACACTGTTCTGAGTAGCCTGATGAAATCTCCCACCGTCCCGCTCGGTCCCACCCAGGACGTGAATCATCCCTTTGTCCAGCGTCTCCACCACTCCCTGCGGTTAGTCACTTAGTAGCCGACTGGGTCATCAGATCGACTGTGGAGGCATCGCAGTGCTTGTGTTCACGGAACTCTCATTTTACTTCACAATGGTCCCAAAGCACAAGAATAGTGCAGCTGGCATATTGTCATCATTGTTCTATTTTACCCTTAGTTATCGTTGTTAATCTTTACTGTGCTTAATTTATGAATTAAACTGTATCAGAGTTATGTATCTATAGAAAATAACATAGTATATACAGGGTTCAGTACTATCCACAGTTTCAGGCATCCATGAAGGGTCTTGGAAGGTGTCCCGGAGGATGAGGGAAATTACTGTGTCTAGCACCAGCCACACAGAAGCACTGGAGAATTAGAAGGCTGAGACCCTGACTCAGGGCTTGGAGTTCCCCTCCCAGAGTTCTTAGGGTCCTCTTTCTCTTCAGCATCTTTAGAACATGATACATGTGGGCTCACCCCAGAGCTGAAGACACTGGATAAAGGGGCTTTGAGGGCAGGTGCGGTGGCTCATGCCTGTAATCCCAGCACTTTGGGAGGCCAAGACTGGTGGGTCACTTGAGGTCAGGAGTTCGAAACCAGCCTGACCAACACGGAGAAACCCCATCTCTACTAAAAATACAAAAATTAGCTGGGCATGGTGGCGTGTGCCTCTAATCCCAGCTACTTGGGAGACTGAGGCATGAGAATCGCTTGAATCTGGGAGGCAGAGCTTGCAGTGAGCCGAGATCCCGCCACTGCACTCCAGCCTGAGTGACAGAGTGAGACTCCGTCTCAAAAAACACACACACACACACAAAAGATGGAGGGTTGGCTTGAGGATTTCCATTTGTGAGATTGAAGGTATATAAAATACAGGCCTTCAAGGTAAGAATCATCTAAGTAAGACAGCAAAGAAGGCAGAGAAATAACTGCACATACACCTTTCAGAAGAGGTAGCAGAACTTGCATGCCAAGTCACTACAAGAAAAGCACGTGGTGGTTAGGAAATCAGGACTGAGGGCTTCGCTCCTGTTCCCTGTGCAGCGTGGACGGTGGGGAGCTGTTTGACCGCATCATCGATGAGAACGACAATCTGACGGAACTTGATACCATCCTGTTCATGAAGCAGATATGTGAGGGCATAAGGCACATGCATCAGATGTACATTCTCCACTTGGACCTGAAGGTAAGATGTTTTGTGTCCTGTGAGATTTTGTATCCTTTCCACCCCTTGCTCAGTGAGTGGGCCCTGTCTGCTATTCTATGCCAGCTGGGGAAACTGGTACAGTCACTTCAGAAATGAATAAGCATCTGAATTGTTACCCTCATCTCCTTCTCAGCTTCTGTCACTCCCTAATATTTGCATGTTCCATCTTCAGGGGCTAATATTCAGATTCTTGTAATTTGCCTGCGTTAAGGAAATCTATATGGCAATGGTTTCCCTGAAAGTTTAGAGTTAAAACAGTCACCACCACGACCAGCACTGCAGCGGTAGCCATGTGGTATCCCTCTTGTCAGGACAAGTAGGTGAGAGGATTTTAGCTAACTCAGAATTCCCTAAGTAGCAGCCAACCTTTCCAGGTCTCCAAGAATCGCCGGCAGCTCCTCGAGTCACTCAGGAAGCTCCGGACTTTGGGACTTGTTTTCTATGGGTTTGCTGCCCTGTGGAATAGAATCCTATGGAGAAGGGAGCAGAGGGCAGTCGGAAGGACGGGCCGAAGTGCTAAGGAGCAGACAGGGTGGGGCGGGCACCCCACTGCCAATGGTGGAAAGCACACAGAAGCCAAGCCGCCTTTCTTTCTCCTCCTATTGATCGCCCCTCCCTCTTTACCGCTCTCATTCTCCTCCTATTGATCGCCCTTCCCTCTTTACCGCTCTCATTATGTCTCACTATGAAATTCCTAGAGTCGGACTGTACGTAGTCTTAGTTACAACCAATGAAAGACCTAGGCCCGATAACCCTGATCAAGTCCCACGTTGGGACTAAGTATCATAAAGTACATCTTGTGTGGCTTGGTCATTTTCTCATTTCCCTGTTTGCACAGCATGACAGTAAGGTAAAATATATATTCTATATAACATCCCATCTATTGCATGTCACCAGGGATTGCATAGCTAAATAAATTTAGCCTCCTTAAATAGGTTTCCATGGGCCTCTCTTCCTATAACTTGGCTTCCCTCACTGTCTTGATTTATGTGCCTTGCCTTTCCCATTCACTTTTGAGCAGGAGGAGAGCAGGAGGAAGTGGTTTATAAAATGACAAAGTCAGAGGTTAAAAATCATTAGCAAAACCCTGGCTATGAGCTGGGTTTGATAATACATGCTTTCACGGAGCATTTTCATTGACTGTAGATATTCTGCAGATATCCCTAAAGGGATTTGATTGGCAACTGGAACTAAGAGCAAACCTATTGTAAGTCAAATGACTCCATATGGGGCTTCGTAACATTGATTGAGGACCTGCAGCGGGCAATTTTAGTTATGGCTTGGATGCAAAGATCATAAAAAAAGTGACAGCTGGATGGGTCATTAAGGAGCTGCTTTTCTGAAAGATCCTTGGAAGGAAAAGGGCCAAAAATATTAAGAATGATTGTCACTATGTGGGGGGAGATTGTAGGTGACTTACAGTCTGTTTCATATTTTTCTGTTTTGCAAATTTTATCCAATGAACATTCTTTAATTTTATCATCATAAAAAGGCTAACTTTTTGAAATGCCCTCAAAACGGTTTCTCTATATCCTGCAAACTTTTTGATGCCGCAGTACTCCTTCACAATTGGACAGCTTTATACATGATCAATCAGTTATTTAAGCACGAAACCAAATGTTTCACATAACACCCCTTCTCTATAATGACTTTGACTTACAAACATCTGTTTTAGAGATATTTTAGAAAAGGCCTTCCAAAGATATTCTACCCAACCAAATGTACTATTGAATATTGATAAGGAGACGCTGTGTCATTTCATAATGTGTCTCTGAATTTGTGATCTCATTGGAACCTCTTCTCCATCCGGACAGGTTGGGGAGGGGGAGCCTGCTCCCACTAAAGGCTGAGGAATGGGATCCTGGGCATTCGCCTTCTGGGCTGGTGCCCTCCAGCTCATAAAGAGTTGGGCCTCAGGGTTCTTAACTCTTTGAAAACTTTTTTTCTCTTTTATAAATGGTCTTGACTTTAAATCAAATCACTTACTTTCCCCAGACCTCCGTTTTTCGACCCCAATAAACATTAGGTGCACTTGTCGGACATTCTGTGAGCACTGAGGCTGCGCTACAACCTACTTGTCTCCCCTACACCCCAAGGCTGTCAGGTTAGCAGGCTAAGGCCTTACCAGGGCCTAGCTCCAAGGGAACACTTAGTCAGGGGATTTAGGCATTGAGACCAAACTCAGCAAAACCTCGGAACTGCCGAGACCGAAGAATGACTGGAGAGAAAAGCCCTCGTCTCCCATGCGACTTTCCCCTAAGTGCTGAGCAAAGGGAAGCTCTGGAGGCCGGAACGTTCACAGTACAGTGCACGTTCAGTGTGGCTGTTTAAATGGAGCAGGTCAGTTCTCTTGGAACTCATAAATCTTGGGAAAACTATTTCTCCAAGAAGGGGAAATTCATACTCAATAATTTAGAGGGGCAGATGTCAGGTCTGAGCGGGCTTCCACAGTGCATTTGGGAAGGACTGAAGCAGCCTCCTCTTCTTGCTCCCCTCAAGGCCTCTGCCTGAACTCAGGCATCAGGGTGAACGGTGAAGCCGTGGAGAGGACTGGGTAATGCAGGGTTGGCAGGATACCCGCAACCTCATCCACCACATAATTAAAGGAGAAAGTGCCCACACGGACAAGCCCGCCCCCCCAAAGTGAGAGGCCTGATACGTTTTTTCTGAGCGTCGTTGTATTTTTAGTTGTGGTTCAAGGACAATTTGAGTGAATGATGGTTGTTTTCATTGCTAATGTGTCTCTTTCTCCTGGCAGCCTGAGAATATCCTGTGTGTGAATCGGGATGCTAAGCAAATAAAAATTATTGATTTTGGATTGGCCAGAAGGTATGTCTATTTGGACGTAGGTGTACGAACGGAGGTAGGGGACATGATGGGTGCCCTTTCTTTGCAAACATATATCTGATCTGCTCCTTGGTTTCATGATCTCATTTATAATTAATTTAACAGAAATTATTATGTTTGGCCTTAACTTGCTAAATTTGAGACTTGAGTATTTAGAAGTTTCTATAATGCATGCAGTAAAACGTATAAAAAATTAAAACCTAATGCAGTGACGTTTATTAAATTAGAAGCCATTAATGTAGCATTTGCAAGTGTTTGTCCTCATCTTTCGTATTTGTTCCATCTGTACAGAGAAGATTTACTTTAAAAATATTAACAATGTAAGCAAGATTGCAAAGCGTTCTGGCACATGTAAGATTCTTACAAAGAGTTTACGTGGACACGTTAACAATTCAGCATGTCAATGATGTGTATAAAATAGATGTTGTAAATTATTGCAGTACTCTGTTTATTCATTAATACAGGCTTACTCCAGTCATCCCCGTGTCAATGACTGTATCAGGTTTCCTCTTGTCATCTTCTATAATTCAGATGTTCTAATTATTCACAGTGGCTTCTCCCACAACTGGTTCAACCTATTAAGGTTTCCCAGTATGAATTTTGACTTTTAAATTTTCTGGGACCGCTGTACAAGTTTTTGACACCCTTTCTTCGTTGTTTGGGTTCCTTTAATGTTTGTTTAGTTGAAGTTTGCTGTAGGGCTGAAGTTATTTTGTCTCATAGACTGCATCATTTCAGTGTTCATGATTTTTGATTGACACTTCCATCCTCCCACTTTGTCTCTTAAATCGCAGATACAAACCCAGAGAGAAGCTGAAGGTGAACTTTGGAACCCCAGAATTTCTCGCCCCTGAAGTTGTTAACTATGACTTTGTTTCCTTTCCAACCGACATGTGGAGTGTGGGGGTCATCGCCTATATGCTGTGAGTAGCGCTCCCCGTCTCTGGCCCTTCTCCATCTCCATGCTTATTTTCTGAGGTTTTGCCATTTTAAATAAAAGCCCCAATTGAGGTCCGTAAAAAATAAATAACACTGTCCCATCCTCAGTTGCTTTCTAGGTTCTGTTGAATCCTGTGGGTGAAAGGACTGAATTCTTTCCCTGCACATCATTTGGAAAAGTAAATGTGTGTCCTCTTCATTAATCACTGTAACTCCTAGGACACAACCTACAAACCAAAAAATAATTTAAAGAGCTCACATGGCCCGGCGCGGTGGCTCATGCCTGTAATCCCAGCACTTTGGGAGGCTGAAGCGGGCAGATCACAAGGTCAAGAGATCGAGACCATCTTTGCCAACATGGTGAAACCCCGTCTCTACTAAAAATACAAAACTTAGCCAGGTTTGGTGGTATGCGCCTCTAATCTTAGCTACTCGGGAGGCTGAGGCAGGAGAATCACTTGAACCCGGGAGGCAGAGGTTGCAGTGAGCCAAGATCACGCCATTGCACTCCAGCCTGGTGACAGAGCGAGACTGCGTCTCAAAAAAAAAAAAAAAAAAAAACTCATATCCTGATCTGCTAAGTGACTCAGGCTATCCCCACCCCTCAGAGATGACCTGCCTGGCGTTTGCCATCTGAGCATGTAGTAGCACTTTGCGAACTGTAAAGTGATTTAAAAAGGAAGCTGATATTCATATTCACATTCTGTTGCTGCTGTCTTTATTGCCACAGTTGTTTAATTAGGAGTTGGGTGGGAGTGGCAAGCATATTCTTGATTGCAATAATATATTATAAAATTATGCTTTCGGATTACGTTATTTTCCTTCTCTCACCTTTGAATGGCAGAACCAGAAAAGCAATCTGTATGGAAAGGGATTGAGGCTGTTTAAAAAATACTCACTCTGGACCCTGTGTCCTCCAGACTTAGCGGTTTGTCCCCTTTCCTGGGTGACAATGATGCCGAGACGCTGAACAACATCCTGGCCTGCAGGTGGGACTTAGAGGATGAAGAATTTCAGGACATCTCAGAGGAGGCCAAGGAGTTCATCTCCAAGCTTCTGATTAAGGAGAAGAGGTAACCCAAGTTCGTCCTGTGCTCTGGGCACGGTAGGGATGATCAGGAAGCAGGGCGTACCACGAAGGCTGTTAGAATTTATTCCCTCACTAACATCTGTGATGCTCGTGCAAAGTCATAGATAGAATGAGGTTTGATCCTCTTGACCCTCTCTACTGCAGTCTGGGACTGCTTTGGTCATGAAGCTACATAAACCTTTCTCCTCCTGCCATTTATCATGCAGCCATGGGCTCCTGCTGGGCCTCAGTTGACTCACTGTCAAAATGAAGGACTTAGGAGAAGTATTTCTAGGATTCCTTTCACCTCTACAAAGCTGTATATGGTTCTGTGTAGCTGAATCTTTAACTACCATTTCATTTGAGAACCTACTATGGTGGTTTGCCCATGATCACACCACCAGTAATTGGCAGAACGGAGGCTCAAACAGATAGTTCTCCTTCCCCGACGGCCACACACTTGGCTGTTATCTATTACATGGGCCTCTATTTTCTGTTATGCTAAAACCACATTAATTCAAAATTCAGTGGATGAAAAAGAGTGACACTGGAATATAGGGATTTGCGTTTTAGAATCAGAGCGGGAGAAGGGCATTGTGATTAACCCATCAAACACTCTGTTTCAGATGGCTTTCTACCTGAGCCATATAATGATTGAATCTGTTAAGACTTTCAGGACCAACAGCACTTGTCTTACCGTTTTATTATCTTTATGGCTTTAAAGTCACAATACACATGGCCATGGATCAACAGGTAGGAGGGTGTCACAGGGAGTGGGGAAACAGTGTAGGCAGGGGGTCTGGCACAGAGCCTGGCAAGAGATGCCTTCATTCAAGTGTCGATCACCTACTGTGTGCCAGGAAATGTGTCATGTGTTAAGAATAGATGCACATCCAGTTTCTACCTACAGTAACTCACCATCTAATAAAAAGGATAGGTATTTTTTTAAAAGATGTAATAAAATGTGGTTAACACAAAGATAAGGCCAGAACTGAGTCCCTAGAGAATGAATAGAACCTAGCCAGGCTAGGAGTATCAGTCAGACAAGAGGGACAATTCACAAATAGTGGATTAATAATAATAATAACCTTGATGGAAAAGCACAATAACAGCCAGGGTTATTATTATTAGCACATTACCCTTCCCAAGGCAGTGAACAGATGGAAACTGTCAACGCTTTCAAATCTTCGGAGGACGAGAAATCCACATTTACTGCGAACCTGTTTTACACGTGTACTTTTGTGTGTTATCTTATTTGGCTTCTGGATAATCCTGTGGTCTGTGGAGACCATCATTTTACAGATGGGGAAACTGAGGCTGAGAGCAGTGCTGCATTCACATGGCCAGCTCAGAGCAGATGCAGAGGTGGACCCAGTGGGCTCCAGTGCTGCTCACTCCTTCAGTCTGAGGGCTTCATGAATGCCCAGGGAGCATCAGATACCCATCTGGGCCGATGGCAACAAGCTTAGAATTCCAGTCAATGCTTGGATGAAACTAAAGCCAAAAGCCAAACACCACTATCATAGAATAAATTTCTGGGGTACAAAAATAAACTTGAAATGTTATTAAAAGTTTAATTATTAGTACAATGTTATTGCTAACTTTTTAATAGCCAGATTTAAGAAGTTCGACCCTAGAGTGCAGAATCATCATTTTTCACCTTGGTCAGCCATTGGAAGGCTCTGGAGATCCAGAGCTGAAAATGTTTGACACTAAAGCAGAACCACACTTCCAACTGAGGTCAGTGGAAATCAAGAGATTTTTAAAAATTACCTCTGCCTGGTTTTTGGCACTATAATGGTGATGTTGTCACCAAGTTCATTGACTGTAATAAAGACTTATCTCCTTTTCAAATCTTATACTTAAATATTTTGGTATCTGATGAAGCGATTGCATTGAAGCAATCCTACACACTGAAGCTTCATTAATGCTTGGAACTACCTCTTTGACTTCAGACTGTTGCAGTCACTTACAGATTTTTTTTTTTTTTTTTTTTTTTGAGACGGAATCTCGCACTGTCGCCTAGGCTGGAGTGTAATGGCACGATCTTGGCTCACTGCAACCTCCACCTCCTGGGTTCACGTGATTCTCCCGCCTCAGCCTCCTGAGTAGCTGGGATTACAAGTGTGCCCCACCACACCCAGCTAATTTTTTGTATTTTTAATAGAGATGGGGTTTCACTATGTTGGCCAGACTGGTCTTGAATTCCTGACTTCATGATCCGCCCGCCTCAGCCTCCCAAAGTGCTGGGATTACAGGCATGAGCCATTGCGCCTGGCCTACAGTTTTTATTTTGAAAGGTTATTTGTTTTAATGTGATAAATCTTAGCACATCAAACAAATTTATAGAACTTAGAATTCGAATATAGTAAATCTATATTATTATTCTTCATATTATTTCCCAAAATTGTATAAACCTTTGCTAGCTCCAAAAGGATATTGTTTCTTTGTAAAAGTATCTAATGGTCCCTCTCTTTTTTTTTTTTTTTTTTGAGACGGAGTCTCGCTCTGCTGCCCAGGCTGGAGTGCAGTGGCCGGATCTCAGCTCACTGCAAGCTCCGCCCCCTGGGTTCCCACCATTCTCCTGCCTCAGCCTCCCCAGTAGCTGGGACTACAGGCGCCCGCCACCTCGCCCGGCTAGTTTTTTTTGTATTTTTTAGTAGAGACGGGGTTTCACCATGTTAGCCAGGATGGTCTCGATCTCCCGACCTCGTGATCCGCCCGTCTCGGCCTCCCAAAGTGCTGGGATTACAGGCTTGAGCCACCGCGCCCGGCCCTGGTCCCTCTCTTAATAATTACATCGACTCTATTTCCCTACCTATTTAACTCAAAACTTCTTAATTCAAAAGTTAGTAATATTTATTATTCAAAAGTTTTAATATGTAAACTGCTTTGGCAATCATCAAGAACCATTGTAGCATTTTGCTCTTACAATAATAAATATATATTTATCTTTCAACTGACTGATAGGAATCCACTTTACTAAGTTCAAATGTTATACTACAGAAATGGTTACTTATATTTGAAAGTAAGTGTTCAGTTATTAACAAGGATTTTCATTATTTGCCTTGTTTGTCTTTACTAATGTTTTCCTGATTGGATTTGATAGTCACCTATGCCATCACTGATAGCACACAATTCAAGAGAAGGCAGAACTGACCATGAGTTTGACATTCGGCCATCTGGTCTCCCAAAGGCAGAGGCTGGAGCTGAAATTGAACAGCAGATGCAGGCCTTCTTTGGTGTGTTTCTACTAATCATCGTCTGAATTTCCCTCTAGTTGGCGAATAAGTGCAAGCGAAGCTCTCAAGCACCCCTGGTTGTCAGACCACAAGCTCCACTCCAGACTCAATGCCCAGGTGACCACGGCTTCTTACTCTTCCTCTTTTCCTCCTGTCTGCCTGTCTTTTGAAGATCAGATGCTAGAATCACCTTAACCTTAAATAAGGTTCTTTCTCATTCCTTTTCTCACGGACTACTAATCTTGTGTGTGTATTAAGTTACTTAAAATGCATTTTTAAAAATATTTATTTATTTATTTTTATTTTTTTATTTTTTTTTGAGGCAGAGTTTCACTCTTGTTGCCCAAACTGGAGTGCAATGGTGTGATCTCAGCTCACTGCCACCTCCACTTCCCGGGTTCAAGTGATTCTCCTGCCGCAGCCTCCCAAGTAGCTGGGATTACAGGTGTACACTACCATGCCTGGCTAATTTTGTAATTTTAGTAGAGACAGAGTTTCACCATGTTGGTCAGGCTGGTCTCAAACCCCGACCTCGTGATCCACCCACCTCGGCCTCTCATAGTGCTGGGATTACAGGCGTGAGCCACTGCACCTGGCCTTAAAATGCTTTTTTGGGCAGTTTACATTTTAAAAATAATGTATTTGTTGTTTAATTGAGTATTTTCAGCACAACTGTTTATTATTAAATTGTTGTATCCATTATAAAATGAATTAATTCATTGTCTTATGTGCACATACATACAGACATATAACCTATAAACATATAAAGTTCTGGAGAATATATAGTAATATTCATTCAGGAGAAATATGCCTCCTTAAAACAGAATTCAGAATTCTAAATACCGTGCTCACCTGGTTTGGTCTGCTCTGGGCACCGAATCTAATTATTAGATAACTCGAATCTATTAGAATTATCTAATACTCAGCTTGGTCCAGACATCTATACAAGTCTTTGTGTAGGAGACTCTTAGACTACAGACTGAGTATGGTGAATAACCTAGCCCACTCTCTGTAATAACTTCTTACAATGAAATCTTCATCTACTCTCATCGCCTTAATTACCAGATATTCATATTCCAACTTCCTCATCTGCCTCTTTGGCAAAGGTATCTTTCCTAAGCTGCAGAACTGTATGTCCATCTGTGTACTAGATGTTTCCACCTGGATCTTCCCACCCCTAAACTAATCTCATCTCCCTGCACCTCGCCTCACCATCAGTGATCCTCCTAGGGAAGGATGCCCTGGAGCGGTCTCAGCCAGCCCCCGCGCATCTTCTTTGTTTCCTTCCTCTCCCGCAATCCCCCATCTCATGTTTAATTTACCTCCATGTTCTGTACATGATATCCCCTAATTACCTCTGGAACCTGTGTATTTCTCTCCATTCCCATGGTTACCGTGGCCTGGGACATGCCTCCCTGAATGACTGCAGCCTCCTGACTGGCTTCTTGGCCTCCTTCATGTTGTCTCCATCCAAATGATTGTGGATTATATAATTAACACAGAAACAGATGTGCAATGCCCAAGGAACTTTACTGAACATCTAGGATGTTCAACTGGCAAGATGCACATATAGGCAAGACGCCATGCAAACCTTTGGGCCCACCAGGGACCTGTCTGACGTGCCCATCAGTTAGGGTGGCTGGTGCCCTGCCCTAGTATAGCATGGGTTTGATACGTTTTTGTTTCTTCCACCTTTGCTCCTCATCCTCTCCATTTCCTGAGGTTTTTGGAATGGAACTTTTTCACTGACCAACAAACCTTGGAATGACTATGCCTTCGGTACTCACTTTTTCCACATCCAGTTTTTATTGAAATTAACTTTACTTCTAAATTCAGCATCGGCACTAAGTTTTATTTGTGTCTGAATATACCTTTCCTTGATAATTGGTACTGATGTCAAGTAAAAATAGACTTATTACCTAGTGGGTACCTCATCCAGACTACATAAACTGCTTATTAGGGTTACCAACCTATTTTGAGCCAATTTTCCACCAATGTATTTTTATCCAAGCTTATTGGTGTCCAAATACTTTGACATGGTAGGATAGTATAGGAACCACAGCAGGTAATTAATGACATTGTACAGTTTAAAAAGTTTAAGAATATTTTTTAAACCATGTAACAACAAGTAAAATCACCTTTTGTATCCATCCATCTGCTGGTACCTGAGGTGAATAGATAGTTCAAGAGTGATGATGGTTTTTTTCTTTTTTTAATGAAAAACAAATGCCATTTTATAAATCTAGTTATTACAGTTATAATTATACAGCATTGTGGAGGCACCCTTCTAACTGCTTTACAAAAAATACCTCCCTCACTCCTCATAGCAACCCATGAAACAAGCACATTAGTGTCTGTAGCTGAGAACACTCAGGACAGGGCTGAGCTCTGGAGTCCGGACAGAGCCTCACTGCTCTGCTCTCCTGCCGCTGATGGGCTGCTGGGTACCGGGGACCTGAGCGATGCTTCCAGAACCTTTCTTGTACCATACAGTTTTAGTGTTACTCAAAGTCAATATTCAAACTTAGTATATCTTACTTTTCAAGGAAATATTGAGACTAAAGTTTCCCAGAAGGCTTATTTTTAGAATAATCTTGGTTTTACAAAATCAGAATTTACCTTTAAGTTGAAAATTTAATTCTGATCCAAAACTGTTTACCATTTCAACCTAAATTCTATTGTTAAGTCTTTCGTGTATTTTTATTTGTCTCTTTTGCTTCGAGCTTAAAAGCACTTGCTATTTTGTAACCACTTGAGTAGCATGTTGACTCTCACTAAATTTAAGAAGGACTTTTTTTTCTTAGAAGTTAACATCCGAGAGTTCTCTGCCCTCTGTATTATGCTCAAGGTGACATGCGATGACTCCCAGCCTTTCTTACGTCCCCAACCATCTGTGTGTAACCTGTTTCCATCAGAAGCAGCTCTCAGCTGGGGTGGGGCAAAGCACTCCCAAACTAGGAGTCTACTAGAACTCAGCACCTGCTGCAGAATTAGCCAGGGTTCTGGGGCCAGAGGACGGAACACGACACGAATTTGACATGGTTTCTTTCCCCCAGAGCTAAGAAACCTCTGAGCTTTCCTTCCCATTCTCAGTGTTGTGACCTTGGCTCATGCCCTTTCAGTGAACTAATAAAACAACCTGTGAACTGATATCCAACCTCTACTCACCCTCTTCCCTAATCTATCAAATCATTAGTTCCTTAATTACAGCTCAGACCTTGATTGAAAAAATCTTCACATGTTTCCTATGGTCCACACCAGACCCAACCCAGTTGCAGTCAGGGCCTGCTCCAGGACACCCCCAGCTCTTATTTTGAGCCTTGTCTCCACTGCTGCCTCCAGAGCAGCCCACAAGTCAGTACTTGTCTAAGGCCTGTATTAAATGCCCCGGCTTTTCTCAGTCCTTAAACTGGACTCTTTCTCTGTGTTCTTGAATCTCTTTGTGGAATTCACATTATCGTTGTCTACTCAATTTGAAAACTTTTGGAAGAAACTGTTTCTGTGTCTGACTCATCTTTGCAGTCATCGTAGCCCCAGTATTGCAAGTGACAGGGCACTCTTGTGCTATATCAGCGTGAGTTTTGGCAAAACACACCTGAGTGTGATGAGGTGCTGAGGTGTTTGGCCCTGACTCTGTGTGAGAAGGAAGGGTCGTGTGACAGGGGCCTCTGGGGAGACTGGACTCTGAGATGGACTCCGAGGTTGGCCAGGGTGTCTGTCAGGGGGTTGTCGGGAATGTAGGCTTCAAGAATCTCTCTTGAAGAGCACCTTCTACTCAGTAGCAAGTGATTGTCTTTTCACGTGTGCTCGTAGTCGGGGCCTGATGGAAACAGTCCTAATCCTTCCCACATGCCTTCTGCTTTCCCTAGAAGAAGAAGAAGAAGAATCGTGGCTCTGATGTCCAGGACTTGTGACCAAATAGTCTACAGGAGGCACCCATTTGAAAGGTTAGTCTTGGGTCCCCTCAAGAGGTGTCTGTGAAGGCCTTAAGAGACAGGAATAAGAAAGAAACGGAACATTTGCTCACAGACTATGCGGGAAGAAGAGCTGCGTTTTGGCTGGCGTGGAGGGCCCTGAAATCAGAATGCTGTGTTTGCACCCTGGCTGTGCTCTTTCTTGCTGGAGGAAGCTCAGTGCCTGACTTGCGGGTTGGGGAGAGTCTCACTTCCTAAGCTTGTTGAGTGGCTCCCATGAGAGCATCCAAGCAAAGCCCCGAAACCAGGGCCTGGTGCGTAGGAGGGATCAATAACCAGCTCAGGCGGTGCTGGTAACCGTCTGGGGGTAGTCCTTAGACAATGTGTGAGATCAGAGGAAGTGACACCCTCTTTTGTACAGATGGGGAAATTGCATCTCAGAGACTCAGAGACTAAATAACACCCCCACGGCCATGCAGCTTGTAAAGGGTGGAGTGTGGTTCCCTTGGGTGTTTCTGAAGCTGACGCCCACGTTTTTGAATCCCCTGAGCTGCTTCCTGATCTTGGCCTGCTCTACGAGCCCAAAGAATACCACCTCCTACACACACCCAGACACATGTGGACCTCCACCTAGCTCAGGTGTTTTTGGAATCATTGAGAGATGGGTTTACACATGAATACCTTCTTTGATATCAATAATCTAGCCCAATGTAGCCCTAAAGGAGAAGACTAACAGGCACATGTACTTACGAAGGACTCTAAGAAAACCCAACATTCATGTCCTTGCTGGGGGCCTGGACCCTGCAGCGAGTCAGCTCCCTAACCTTGGGCGGGGAGTCCACAGCCATTTTCTCAGCTCTGTGCATGGAACTGCACAGGGCTGATGACTTGTGAGTGAGTTCTTGCTGCTCACTGTGTTTTTTTGTTGTTGTTGTTTGTTTGTTTTTTGAGATGGAGTCTTGCTCTGTCACCCAGGCTGGAGTGCGATGGTGCTATCTTGGCTCACTGCAACCCCCACCTCCCAGGTTCCAGCGATTCTCCTGCCTCAGCATCCTGAGTAGCTGGGATTACAGGCACCTGCCACCACGCCTGGCTAAGTTTTGTATTTTTAGTAGAGACGGAGTTTCACCATGTTAGCCAGGCCGGTCTCAAACTCCTGACCTTAGGTGATCCGCCCGCCTCCGCCTTCCAGAGTGCTGGGATTACAGGGTGAGCCATGTGGCCCGGCCTGGTCTTCATCCTTTCTTCTGATAGGTCTGTTTCCGGGCCTGAGGTTTCTACCCAGGCAAAAATATCAAACCTTTTTGATTGTACATATTCTTGTAAGCTGCCTTGAATTTTTGTAGAATAAGATGGGGTAGAAATGAATCAGTACCTCATAGTAAAGGCCACACATCAGTACTAGGAAAACACTTGGCCTTTGGAGGAAAGGAAGCTTACATATGCCCCTGTCACTTATTTAGAAATCCACAAAAAGTGAACAGGAAGGCTTGTGCATTCTATTTACAAAGACCATTCTTCTTTGTCAAAAACAGCAAGGACATGAAAGTCTCGATAAGGTAGGAGAGAGTTTTGTTTCTTGTGAGGACAACCTGGAGCAAGAAAGGACCCTCGTGCCCCCAGGCCTAGGTTATGGTCCTCGGCGAGGTGCCCCAGCCCTGCTCCGTGAGTGCCTGGATCCACAGGCAACCAGGCTGTGTCCGCTCCTTCTCCCCGCCCCGCCTTCACCCTCTCCCCCAGAAGCAGTTTTGTCCCCAGCGACCACAAACCCCGAGGGTTTGCCACAAACCACCTTCCCACCATAAGGACTGGAGCCACTTTGGAGGCCTGATGGGAATGAATTCACTGGGTGACAGGGTTGCATTCCAAGGCGGGCCTGCTGCCAGGGTCTGGCGGGGGAAGAATGAGGAGGAAATGGTGATGGGAGGGGGTAGAGTCCTTCCACACAGACATGGGTGCTTCGAACCCGGTGTGATGGAAGACAACAGCAGCCTATGAAGTGATGGCCGTGCAGAGGACGAAGACAGCACATTTGGGCTGGCCTCGCTGGGGCAGCTGGGCACAGCCTCTGCTGGAACTGCTTGAGGAAGCCTGCTGACGGTCATGGAGCCGGCTGCCTTCCTTTCCGGCACTCTTCAGCCCCCTTGGCCTCAGAAATTCACCTGAGTCACACCACAGGCCAAGGAAGAATCATTTCAGATACACACAATCTGGATGCTTCTAGGCTGGGGTGCAGTGTCGTCAGCATAGCTCACTGCAGCCTCAAACTCCTGGACTCAAGCGATCCTCCTACCTCAGCCTCCCAAGTAGCTGTGAGAAAAGACATGCACCACCACGCTTGGCTAATTTTTAAGTTTTTTGTAGAGGTGGGGTCTCACTATGTTGCCCAGGCTGGCCTTGAACTCCTGAGCTCAAGCGATCCTCCTGCCTCTGTGTCCCGAAGCACTGAGATTACAGGAATAAGAGCCACCATGTCCCGCCTACCTTCCTACTTTAAATAAACAAATAAATAAATAAAACTTAATGTAAGATTTTAACTCTGGGAGCAGCCTCATTTGAGAAGTTAGAAAAAAAAAAAGATCATTCTTCGCAATAATATTCCCCGTCAGGATGAGATGGGTTTATGGCAGGATGTATTATGACGGAAACCAAATTTGAGATAATATTGATTTTAAAAATCTGGTGGTTGAAGATTATTCCTGTGGAAAAAGAAAAAGTTCCAGGCCGATAAATAAGGCATAATTCACAATGTCAACCGAGGCATATACATCTCCTGCAATTTGTCAGAGGAAACATTCCCAAAATCAACCTGGTGGCATTTTGTTTCTGGTTACCTCTGTCGTAACTTTTGCCAACTTATGGGATATAAATTTAGGGTACTCCTCAGATCCACAGGAATGATGGCAGGTAGCCGTGTGCGGGCCCCAGGTCAGACGTGGTCATAAAGCCCATGGAAATGTCCCCACACCTGAGGCCACATTCTCACTTTGATGCTGGGATCAAGCTGACCAGATGGATGGAGTGGATGTACTTCAGACGAAACAAAGAGGCCTTGTCCTTCAATATTGCAAATAGTCCTAAAATATCTTGCACAAATTTACCCATGTAACAAACCTGCACATGTACCCCTTGAGCCTAAAATACAAGTTGGAAAGAAAAAAAAATATCTTGCACAAACTAAACATTAAAAAGCCCAACTCTGGTAAGTGGTGGCATCCATCAAGAGGTTTCTTTTTTTTTCCCCGCTCACATACACACATACGTTATTAAAAAAAATCATCTGTGGTTTTCCTAAGGGGCACAACCAACTAATTATAATTTTAAAAGCCCTGCTGAATTAACAAGATTCATATTTTGTTTGCTTTGCAGGAAAACTGCTGCGGTTGCTGCTGCTACGAGAAAATTTTTTGAAAAATCAGCAGTTCTGATGCCTTGACCCCTATGATGATTGGCAGTCTTAGCAGGGGGAACCCTCGACCCTGAATTTGAACTTGAACTGGAGTGCCTCTGCTGCGTTCAGAGGACGCCCAGCGCTGCGGTCTGCTCTCAGGGCGCAGACACATCCCTGCACCCGGTGGTAGTGACGTTGGGAAGATGTTCCCTGCCACCTTGAGATTTTTTACTTCTAGAAAATTTTTTTTGCTCTTAGTCACTGGGGTAGGGGGCGCATTGTGTCTGCTATTTCTCAGATGACTACAGCCATGACACTTGAGATGTACCGGAGATTTCAAAACTGGAGGATGCATTTGGAGGGAGGAAGCTACTTCTAGCCATTAGACTATGCCTTTTGAAGGGGCAATTAGATGGCCAGAAAGAATTCTAGCTCCCATGCACCCTTGAAGACTTTCTCAGACTCTGCCATTTTGATTTGGTCTACGGTCACGTGACTACAATGGATAAATAATTTGCTTGCTGGAACAGAAGCCGTCTTTGAATTTCCCAACAAGAGGCATCAGCCACTGTGTCTTTCATTTATTCTTAATTGTCCTCAAAGCGCGTTTTCTTCCAAGTAGCTGATTCTGTTTTTCACATCTATACTCCCTGCACCCTTCTGACTGACAGTTCATCCCCACAAAACACATTGGTTTTGAGAGGTGATGCAAAAAGTATCTGTTTATGGTTGGTTGAAATTCTGACCTTTGGAATAATGTCAACAGTCACAAGAGGTTTCCTCAAGCCCCAGTTGTCAATGAAAAGAGACGGATCTGCACCTCTTGGAGCAAGACAGCACTGAGCTTTCAATGTTCAAGTGACTTGGGAAGTAACCTTCAAGCTTCTGGGTAAACACGAACAAACATTGACAAAGACCAAGTCCAGTCTCTTGCCTTGCTGTCTCACGGGACTCAGTGGGGATAAAGAAATCGCAGTCGGACACCAGAGGTGATGGCAACTCTGCGACTTCACCTGCTGGACGTGAGAACGTTGGAATGTTCCCGTTGGAAGGTTCCTATGCCTAGCCCATGTGCCATTTCACGGCAGATATGTTAGATATCTACCTGCCGTAGTTAGTTATGGGGCCCAGAAAGGCACTGGGCTTTAAAGAGCAAAACGACTGTGTCGTTTCCACGTGAGGGAGAGGCAAGGAAAAGCCCCACAAAATTCCCATTACCCGCTGAACTCCAAGCTCACCACCCAGCTTCATGAACTTTCCTCACATTTTCCATTTCCAAATAACTGTTGCATTGAATCAGCTGTGTTAATGCCTTTATTCTTCGTGTTTTGTTTGTTTGTTTGTTTTTGTTTTGACGGAGTCTTGCTCTGTCGCGAGGCTGGAGTGCAGTGGCACCATCTCAGTTCACTGCAACCTCCGCCTCCCCAGTTCAAGCGATTCTCCTGCAGCCTCCCAAGTAGCTGGGATTACAGGCGCGTGCCAGCACGTGTGGCTGATTTTTGTATTTTTCGTAGACATGGGGTTTCACCATGTTGGCCAGGATGGTCTCAATCTCTTGACCTTGTGATCCGCCCGCCTCGGCCTCCCAAAGTGCTGGGATTACAGGTGTGAGCCACCGCGCCCAGCCAATGCCTTTGTTTTTATCCATCTGTCCTTCTAAGCTCCTGTTGTCACAATAGCAATGAAAGGTATAAGAATTACTTGGTAGCCTCTTCAGGGATGGCCATTTCACTTTGCATCAGCTTTCCCCCATTATGTCTCAGATCCACCTAAGGAATCCTTCCTTACCACATGCCATGAATGTATGCAACATCCTTACTCTCATCTTTAAGGTAAGGAGGAAGTAGAGAGAGCAGAAAATGTGTGATTTGGTGAAGGCCACATGCAAATTTTGTGGTCGTGCTAGTTATAAAACTGACTCCTTTCTAGCCTTTGCTCTTATAATGATGCATTTCTTTTTCTCCTTTGGCCTTGCATTCATCCAAGTTTGGTTTCTTATGTTCCTGTTATGTGACTATGCTTCAAATGTTTAATTTAGTTTCCTTAAAACACACACACACATACACACACACACAAAAAAAAAACCCTATGACTGGAGTGTTATATTACTATGCTATCTTTAGCTGATGCTATTCACTGAGGCTGGAAAAATACAAGCCAGTGCATGCATTAATACTTAGTTAGACCACAGAGAGCTGGCATTCACTCAAGTGCTAAACAGGACACGAGGGTCTGATTTGAAGCCCCTCGTGGCAGGGCGTTTTCTGTCCTGTGGTGTGCATTCTCTACCAAATCGAGCATGAGATCTTTTGCACGACATGCAATTTGCATCCACCTTCCCTCTGACTCGCGTTGGCAGATAAACTGTCCCCAGACCCTGCCACACACGGAAGAGACAGCTCAGGCCAAATACAGGCATGATTTCTTTGCCAAGTTAATCCACGGATGACCCTGCAGTGAGTGGGTGTGATTTTTGTTTTGTTTTGAGGTTTAGAAAGGAGACTCAACTTTGAAAATGGATCTTGTTTGATTCTGTAGTTAAATTTCCGCATTTGGAATGGGACGGCATCTCCATGCCAGCAGGGTGCCTTTTAAATGAGTGCTGAGGGTAGTTTGCATTGCAGAGTTGATGATTACAGTCTAGAGTTACTTGAAATGGGAGATTATCAGTCTAGTGTTCATCCCGCCCCTGCTCCATGTCCTTGTGTGGCTGCTCCAGCGAGAGCTGGTAACTAGGTAGACTGCCGCTCTAATGGGAAAAGGGGGCTTTGCAAAGCCGAGGAATCAAGCCAGATGCGAGCATGGACGTAGAAAAGCTGAGTCTGACTAGACCAGGGTTATGGAGATCAATTTTTCCAGCAGGTCATTAGGATTTGGGAGGCTGTATTTCTCCTCCACCCTCTTAATGGATGCTATGGCTTTGCTCACTCACTAGGCAGTTCCCACTTTCTTTAGCAAATGGAGGAAATTAAGCAGCGATGTGGCACTTCCCACTGCCTGGAGAGAAATAAACCTTGCAAATTATTAAGGAGAAGGCATGCCACATTGGTAATTTGGAAGACACCAACACTTACCCAGAATCTGTTGCTATTTAAAAATCACGGGGAGGAGGGCACATGTCCCCATTTGTTACATTAGAAACTTTGGAAGAGACTCACCTGAACTAACTTGGGGAAACAGTTTCTAGGTTGAAGCTGGTAATACTTATGTCTGTTGAGTGCCATAAGTTTATTTTCAGTTATTTTGTCTAACTCGATGTTAATTTGCTTTCTTTCCTCAAAAATGTAAGTAGGCATGTGGCCATTGTTGTGGCTTGCTTTGATGTATGTTTGGAAAGATGTGTGAATACTTAATTTTTATCCATTTTGTGGAAATTAGCTTAGCAATTTTTTTCTCTTTTAAGAATCAAAATATGGATTTGATACTAGGAACACAATTTGCTCGTTATTTCATTCCTTTTTTGTCCCTTCTGCTTCCTCTGCCCCTCCCCCAGCCACCCAGCACGGGGTGCCAGTGCGCATGCGTGTGCTGGGTTAGTGTGTGCTGGGGACCAAATGACAGAACCCTGGTTGAAAATCCACTTGTAAAAGCACAAGTGAGAGGCAGCATCAGGCCCCCGGAGGGCTGTGGTCCTCGGACCCGGTTCCCTCCTGTCCCCTGGCCTTCCTGTCATCCCTGCACACTGCGGCATCACCACGGCCCACTTCTCAATGCCCGCAAAGCTTTGCCTTTGCTTCTGCACTCTCTTTTACATTTTTTTACTTCTTTCCTTTTTCTTAAGTTAGAATCCAAGTTTGTCTTCTTATCCGTCACCGTGCTCCCTGAAAGTCTTTTTGAGATTAAGAAATTTTCTTACCGGGAGGCAACTTTCCATCTGTCCTAAAGGGAAGTGGGTGCTGGGTTTATTAGATGTTGGGTTCCTAGAGTAAGATGACTTCCTTACATAGCTTGGAGTCTGCAGTTTCTCAATTAGAAGCGTTCTATATTTCTTTTTGCGCCATTTTAGTGGGCTGTGCTTTGTATAAGTGGTCTTTCTATGGGCAGTTTCACCTTCCATGAAGGCTTATAACTCAACCACTGCTGCCCATTCAGAAGAGCAGAAAGCATCTGCTGTGTGGGCGTTCATATGTTACCTAATGTGTGTTTTGCTGTCGTCTCAGCTGATGGATGTCATTGAGTCTTTCTGACTAGGTTTATTGGTGTTGATAAGAAATTTAAAAAAAGGATTCATAACATGATTGTGTCTATCATGTATATTTTAAATTTCTGAACATAATTTCATTTGGCTGTTTTTCTTTGCTTTATAAGGATGTATAACAATCATGTATGTGTATTATATTGAAGAATAAACATGGACCTTATTTATCTTTTGATTAATGGGCTCAGTCATTCAAAGACATTGTATTAGTCCATTCTTGCATTGCTATAAAGAACTACCTGAGATTGGGTAATTTATGAAGAAAAGAGGTTTTATCAGCTCACGGTTCTGCCAGCTGTGCAGGCTTCTGCTTCTGAGGAGGCCTCAGGAAACTTACAACTCCATAGAAGAAGGTGAAGGGGAAGCAGGCACAGTCTTCACACGGCCAGAGCAGGCGGGGGGAGAGAGAGAGAGAGAGCGAAGGGGGAGGTGCTACACACTTTCAGACCACCAGATCTCGTGAGAACTCACTCACTATCACGAGAACAGCAAGGGGGGAATCCACCCCCATGATCCAGTCACCTCCCACCAGGCCCCTCCTCCAACACTGGGGATTACAATTCAACATGAGATTTGGGCAGGGACACAGAGCCAAACCATGTCAGACGTGGACTTGGCAAATACAATGCAAACTCCTTTACTTCAGGTCTAACATGTCAATTCCTGTGACATTCGGAACCCAAGCTACCTAAAAGGGCCTCACACTTACAGGGGCCCCAGCGCAGTCCACGGCGACACTGGCCAGCCACGTCTGGGAAAACAACTCTAATTTGAAGACATGGTGGTTCCAATGCACCAAGACAAGGTTCAGGGTGGCTTTTTTTCCCCTATTAATACAAAAATATCGACTTAGATTTATGTAAAGTGTCTAGTTTCAGAGGATGTTTAATAAATTATAAAGGCAATTAGTAGCAATTCAACCCCTTTCATGTCTGTTAGTGATTATTCCTTAAACACTGAAAAGTGTCTGCTTCAAAAGTCCCAACACTGAAGGACCTCAGTAAAAAGCAGCCACCACAGGCCCCATGATTGCTTTCTGGGCGTGTTTCTTGTCTGGAGATGGGTCTGTTCTCTCCCAAGCCTGCATGTGAGTCTGGGGTTGACACCTGGATCTAAGCCAACACTCCCCTCTCAGCCCAGCAGTGGTCAGCTCTCCCAGCGGCAACAAGGCCCCCGAACCCTGGCAGGGCTTGAGGTGGGCCTGCTGGATTTTCCATCGCCCACACTGCAAGCCTTAGGGAGGGATGGGGCTTTGTGTTCTCACATGAAGCAATCTCGTCTTGAATGTAGTCTTTTGCCACTCAGACTTCTAGGTGAGGCATTCTCATTTCTTCCCCACAGCGAGGAATCCTTGGCCCTCCCTCCATTATCGGTGCTTGGAGTCTGCAGTTTGCACATGACCACGTCCTTTCCCAGGAGCATATTCTCAGTGCTGGAGTTTCAGGGCCTGCGACTCAGCGAGAGGCCTCAGCCATCTTCTTCCTCCCTGGCCCTTCTTGGCCTCTCCCGGGGTATGGTGGATGGGGGGGTCTCCCTCACCACGCCCACAGAGGGAGGGCGCTGAACCCCTTCACCACTCACCTTCCCACTCCCCATTTGGAAACAGGACACCAGCCTCACCCTGAGATCCTGAGCCATTAGGAAGACTGGTTCTTGGTCCTCGCCCTTCAGTCATTTCTCTCTCCTACTCCTAATTTAGGATTTTTCCAAGAGCTTGTAATCAGTGCTCTCCAGACAGCACTGTGGGGACATCGGGTCTCATGAAAGATACTCATCTGAATTTAGCTGGCTCAGGACCTCACAGCTCACCTGCCTATTTCTAGGGACCTCCAAAATATTCTAATACAAGTCTAGCATCCAGTGTGTCAGAGAGAATGGGCTCTTCTGGCAGGATACAGCCCCACCGCCTGGGCACCTCCCTGCCACTTCCCTGGTCCACCCTCAGAGACACAGCTCCCCCTGACAAGGGTGTGGCTTCCTGGCATCCTGCAAGAGGCAGGCCCTCAAGGGAGCAGCGATGCTGTATTTCCTGGAGTCCCCGTCAGGCTAACACTGCATGCATAACCCAGGCAGAAGTGCAGAGGTGCCCACCACTCAGCCTTGCTCAGACAGACCCAGGTCAACTGGCCATCACAACTCTTAGAATCTTCTCCAGAGCTATGAGAAGTGAAGGCAACAGATCTCCCCCCAGCCCCCATCACCTGCCTGCTAGGTGGTG